CCTACCTGGCCCCAGCGCGCGGCGCCAACGATACAAGTCCATTTCATGTTGATATCGGTTTCTCCAAGAGCCTTACGAACTAAGGAACGTGGAAGATCGGCTAGGAAGTAGAACACTGAGCAAACCTCCTTCTATCCCCTCCTCTTTTAACAACCATTTGAGCATAACACGCACGACTTCAACTTTACCAGCACTCGCAGCCGCCATCATCGGGGTAGTATGACTGTAACTCTCAGCGGCACAGTGTGGGTCGGCACCATTATCGAGTAGAACCTTGAACAAAATGCAGTCACGTTCGAACGACATAGGTCCATAGTAAGCACGAATACAGGGAGCAACGAGAGGGGCTATCCAGAATTCACCATCGATCTGCTGTTGTGTCGCGTTATACTGCAGAGTTCGTGGTAGAAGCTAGACTTGGAAGTCAGAGAAAAACGTTCCCTTGCGGCCCACCTGTGCCGTACGATGATGTCCCCATCTCGCGGCAAGGAAAAGAGGTGACTGCCCAAACCTGTTCAGTCGGTTGATCTGAGGCACGTCTGTAGAAGCTCTGCATCATGCGTCCGTTGCCTCGATAATTACATTCCGTAGATGCTTGGGCTCAGCGCGGAGAAAATCCGAGAGGTTATCTTCGTAACCTAGAGCTGCCAATGATGATAACAGAGTGTCGCCTTTCCAATCGCACTCCGGCGCCTGATCCTCCAAGAACTGAAAGCATATTCATCCGATCCACGCTATAGAACCTAGTATGCTCAGCACAGTTTACTCAGTGCTAGACAATATTCACTACCGACTTCGGTATTCTTGCCATACACTAGCGAATAGAATGGGTCGTCGGGATGACGGCAAGAATGGTGAGTCTGAGAACGGCAAGCGGTACTAGGAGTAACGACGAGCCAGGATCTACATTACCCGGCTAGAAAAGGTCCTTACGGGAACAGACATCACCGAGTAGGAAGCCTGAAATTACATAGTGAGATTCGAGACTGTACTATCCGCACTCAACAGAGGACATTTGAATGGAAAATATTCAAAGCCCCGTTAACATGGCTAGACATCCCTCGATGACACTTTTCTTATAGTTGGTGACTTCACCTCCTCGTACGAGCCACGCATGGAACCTCAAGGGCTGCGTAAGTTACGGAGCCCAACGAGGAGAGGCATAGGACAAACTCAGTTCTTACACACACACCTTGCAGGTTTGCCGCTATGCCGTTGTAAGGAGGATCTAGGAAGTTAATCAACATAGTCTCAGACATTCAGAACTCAACATGATCTCTTGGATTTACAATTCAACATGGTCTCGGTCCGAATCTTGCAATCCTCGTTTCAGAATGGGGATCGTTGTCTTTCACCTCGACGCGAGGCTGCGCATTGCCATACGATGGCCGACTGTTCTACACACGAAACGTAGGGAGTCAGTCGCTCGTTATGATAGTCGCTAGAGTGGCTTGTATGACTCTTATGTGTGAAGTTATTAGCTTGTCGAGCATAATCGACTGCCTACAAGGCATATTCAAGATCCACCGCAACGCGTATGAATCGTGAGGCTAGAGGTCGTATACTTACCTGTCGGGTAGCATCCAGTGCCTCCTTAGCCCAAATCTTAGCAGCCAGAAGGACCTCATTGTTAACATCGCCGAGCTCAGAGTTGTAATCGGTGAGTAATAGCTCATGCATCATCTTCACAGTTTTACGATCATCCCAATGTTTATACTCATTCCGACCTATACCTGATACCAATCAATCTAGCCTCGGATACCTTCATAGGAGAAGATAAACGGACGATGGAGGGATTCTCTCTCAAAGACAATAGATTTCGCTCTTAACACACAAACCTTCATCAGGAAGTGGAGTATACATTTACAAAAGGAACAGAGGATGGCAGCACGCCATACCAGGAGGATGAGTATCAGGTCGCGTCGGCGAACCAGCATGTCTCCCCATCCTGTAATGAAGCCCCAACTCTTAGATCGTCGCTCTGGTGCTGGGTACACTCACGAGTAGGCCTTCGATAGTCTCATCCTAGAGAGAACAGTAGGTATAGGTCCACTGTAATTCCCTTCAGCGCCAGCTGAAGCTGAAACACTGGGATGTGTTCACGGAGTGGACGATCTTAGAACCTTTTTGATGATTCATTAGCCCGGGGAGTACACCCGAGGGTTCGTGATTCAGTGGACACACGTGGATTGTACGTGAGGCGAAACAACACTGAGAACCAACAATTTGAAAATGATGAGGATCCGAGAGCCTTCAAGTGCAAAATATACACAGATCATATTGGAACAACCGAAGTTGAAATCTATCATAGACTTCGGCGTGCCCCCTCCCTCATAAGCTGGTATAACTTGGCAACACGACAAGACGTTTTTCGACACTGGTAGAGTATGGAATTATATATGAGCGTGCTCCACTAGCAGTAACCCTTCTCCATTCGACTGGCATAGCTCATGCTGTCCGTCTTCACTGCCTTGTGTTAGGTCGCTATTATCACTTCCGTCCATAGTCAATGTTACGAAAAAGGGGATACTGTTGAAGGCAGTGCAGACCAGTATCAGTGGTGTCAAGTTGGCGAAGTTCTCAGATGTTACACCAAGCACCTGGGGGAGGGGGCGATTGTGTGCAACCAAGAGAGCTGATGAAGGACTCAAACTGGAGACTCGATGTTCGCCGCCCAAGGATGTCATAGCAAAGGTACTTCAAACTCAACGGTCGAGTCGTCTAATCGCCCTCAACCTCGTTTATCACTCAAATACACCCAGCGCTGATGCTCACGAATCTTGTAACACGACCTAGGTAGTTTATCTGACCATTTAGTCCTGTGATATCTAGTAGATACTATATGACTAAGTGGTCAATGAATTTGAATCCGCATCCAATAGGGAACTACCCGATAGCGTGTACAGACTTACGTTGGTGACCTCAGATGAAACAACAGAGCTTGCGAGGTTCAGGGCTTCAATACCAGAAGAGAATATGGCGAAATAGACGCCCGAACCTTCCTTGGGCGCTGACTTCGCCAATTGGGTAGTTATCGGTAAATACGTGAGCACGGAGCCCATCTCTATAAGAACGTGTCTGTGAGACCAAGGAACAGTCGACGGGTAACAAGAGTCCGGACCTCGCGAGCGCGACTCGAATTGGGTCCAATCGACCCTCGAATGCAGGAAGAGTGAGGAGCAAGCTCGAAGCCGCTACGGGCACGGACACCCATGATACCACCTTCATCTGAGACGGACAACCTGATGGACTAGGGGCGACGATAATTGGGAAACGTATAGCATCCGTCTCTCGGCATCGATCGAGGCTCACTATTTTCTGGATCGGGACTCTTCGTGACAAGTAATTCCTATAGAAGATGGCAGCGGCGATAGAAGCCAGAGAGCCGCATACTTGGAATCTCCCCATGACTTCTGGTGTGAAATGCAGAGCCGGAGAGGTCTAGACAGAAGCATATGAGGCGCGTCAGCTGAGCTCCATATGAACGACAGCTAATTGGAGATATAGAGACTCGGTGAAAGGTTTACAGTGAAGGGAGCGGTATCCAACAGAGACCCTTACTGAGTAATAGAACAGCGCTGTACTGTAGGAGGGTACCATGATGGTAGCAGCCAGAAGCTTCAGCGGTCCACCGAGGGAAGCAGCACCGCTGAGTACCGACTCCAATACGAGTGACTTGCGCAGTATAGTGGGAGGTCTTGAGTGACTCATTGCTTCCTCTTCCATGAGCATTGCCGCTCCCGTAAGCAGGAGGGGACCAGTCGCTGAGAATCGTATCAAAGTCTGACAGCTCATTACGTGGAGCAATGCTCCAGAGAGGTAGGAAACCTGAACGCGTACAGAAATGTGTTGATTCACTAAGGCAAGCTCGCCGCGGACTTTCAGTGCCAATGTGGACAATCCGAGATGAGCCCCGGTAAAGCACAAGTTTACATATCACAGCTAGGCTAGGTAATATGCCGATTGATGCGAGGGGAAACGGCGGTCTTAGGGAGTTCATACCGAGAGGGCCCCTCCGGTAGCCAAGATGGACATGTCAGAAATCAAATCGGCTCCGCCTGCTTCACCGCGATTACTTGTCTCCAACTGAAAGGCAACTAAGTGATATAAACCACACGGATGAGATGGAATGAAACTGGAACTGTGGAACGTCCGTATATCGTCCCGCCAAATGAACATAGCCCTTGCGAGTCCACGTTGAAGTTAGATAGTGTCAAGCGATGGCTAGCGTCGAATATCAGCGATCCTCGAATCCTCGCAGCTCCCGGCCGCAGTCACTAAATTATTCACCGATTAAAACGACAGTATCTTACCATCAACGTGTCCTTCACAGTGACAACTACCGCACCAGCAGAGGAGATTGCCAATACTATCAGTGCGATGGGCACGAAACTTGTCCCTGCCGGCAAATGAGCCAGCGCGATCAAGCTTATGCTGTGCAATGCCGAGCCTAGAACCTTCCACGACCAGCTCGAATCGCCGTGCCGAATTGTACACTTTACGAGGTAAGGCTTCCGTCTGTAGCCCATAAGAGGAAGGTGGTCCGATGCCACTGCCACTGCGGGTTTGAACAGCATCGGTATGGACGCGATGGCCCCAAGCAGCGCTGACACATCGCATGAGAACATATATCGCTTGCCACGTTGGTACCAGTCTCCGCTGGATGAAGGTGCATGACGTCTTTCAACAGGAACGGTATAGCCAGTGATGTAATCGAGCCAAGACCGCCAATTAAAGCACAGAGATAGAGATAATCCTTCGCCGACAAGGCGGGCAGAGCTGTCCAGTCGTACGGCCGGGAAGCTGACGAGACAGTGTTAATGGACCCCTCCTCGTGCACTCTTTGGATCGTCTCTTGAGTATCAACATCCTGCTGGGCAGATCTTCGTAGTCCTGACGACCAGAAGGCTCCGTATGTCAAGGTTGAGTACATTGGTAGAGCTTTGCTTTATGGAAAGTTACTAATCTTGAAGATTACGAGTACAGTAAGACTTTAGAACTATCTTCCATTTCTACCACATAGACGTCATCCAAGAACTCAGACTACAGGAAAGCTAGGTTCACCTCCCCTGTGTAAGCAGTTACTGCCAAACAGCGCTCCAATACGTAGGAACATCGTCTCGACAATAGAGCGACTGCAGCAGCTGGGCGAGGTCAAATTCACGAAGATGAAGCTGTTCCTGTAATACACAAACATGATACTCGTGTGATCGAGAGCTACGCTACGTTACAGGTCTGATTGGCTCCAGGATCTCACATCCCTCGTTTGATTGGCCAACTTCATGCTGCTATTCATGAGCGTGATGAGAGTTTACCCATCTCTGGTAGAAATAATAACCTGGCAAGCACCGTCATAAGCCCTCGATTCCCTCGCATGACAACTCAAAGACCTCATATCGCGCCATAGTTGGCAATTAGATACAGCCGAAGACATGCCAGTATCCCTGTACCCTGAGTATTGTACTGTGCTTGATGACATCGAGGGCGAACATGACCGACTAGGGTGAGGCAACCATAAGGGCATCATGACGAGAGCCCACTACCATCTCGATAAGGACTTGAGCCGCATACCGGTACAATGGAACTACTGTATGCCTTCAGGAGTCACTGTCAACTCAACCAAGGGCCCGATGGAAATACTTCCTGAGTTCGAAATGTTAATTAATAGCATCATCTGAAGACTTCCTCGCCAAATCAAAACCATTGCCTCTATGCGATGAACTGATCATCGACGGAGTGCAGCCCTCTGGGGGCGAGTACTTCTCGATGAGAGAGCTCACACCACTACCAGACGATCCCTTCTTCTTCGGTGTCGTGTTCTCATGTGTAACCGAACTGTCTTTCGCGATCCGAGACTTGCCTTGCACCCGCTGTCTCAGCTGTCTGCATTCTTCCCTTGTATTCTTCAGCTCACCCTCCAGCCGGGAGATCGTCGCAGCTTGCATTCTCACCTGTCATAGGATTGGAAGAACGAACTCACATTTAATCAACAATGCGACACAACCACAACCACCAACGGAGCACACGCAGCTCACCAGCTCGCCCATTTCTTCAGTGAGTGTCGCAACCCTGCCCTCTTTCTTGCACCTCTGTTTGAGCAGATCGTTCTCCGTCTTCAGCAGATACAATTCCGACTCTAACTGACAAGAGTGCAAACAACTGGATGAGCGCGAGCCGAACAGCTGGAAGCGACTAGAGCATACAAATGAAGGCTTTCGAGTTGTCAGCTCGATTAACACATCCACACGTCACATCCCAATGG